AGTTCCCCAAAGCAGGCCCAACCTATAGGTGCCTCCTGCAGCCACAGCACTCCCTTGAACAGCTGGAACACTTGTCAGATGTGGTCACAACGGTACTGCAACGTGCAGCCACAAACCAAGACTCTGGCCTTGTCAGTCACTGTGTGTCTTTTCAGCTTCAGCTTCCTCATCATAGGAACTTGTGTGTCGTCGTGGGGTTTTGTTTGGTTTTAGTGCACTCAAGTAGCTACACTGAAGTGCTGCAGAAAGGGACCACGCTGGCGGCCCATCAATGCAAGCAGATGTCACGTCGTGCTGTTCCTACTCTGTCGTGATGAGCCAGTCCCCGGTGACCCCGTGGACACGGGAACACAGCCTGGAAATCTCAGTTCTGCCACTGAAAAGGACGGGTACAAGCAGAGGAATGACGTCAGCAGAGCAACCTGAAATGGCAGGCTGCTTGGAAACGCTTCCCAGGTCACTTGGGTAAAAATCCACTTTTTAATTGTAATGTCCTTCCACATACTGCAAGTTTTGTATTCCGCTGCAATGCCATACTCATGGCACTGTACGATACGGAGGGGAAGGGAATGGCTCAGCCTACTGTTAACCTTCTGGTTACAACATGTTCAGTGAATCATCGCTGTGTGTGACGAGATAATAAACCCTTACACCTTTTAAATGTTATTTTGTAATTAAGACGTCTCAAAGTCTCTTTTCTTTAAAAAGAAGTTGTGGGCAAGGTTGCGTAACTTAGACCTGCTGGTAACCAAAGCACCAGCCAGGCTGTCTCAGCAGCTGAGGTTAGGGATAAATGCAGCAAGTTACCTCTGAGAATGCTTGTTTGGGGGTGCCCCAAATGCAGAGCAGCTTGCCTCCATCGCTTCCCAAGCGCTGCAGATGCTCCAGGAGCCTTCAGCTGTGGCTCTAGGGCCAGCGGCCGTGTTTTGGAAGGGGTCTGGAAGGGGTCTTGGCACGCCCGAGGCTGGGAGGGCTCTGACCGCATGCCCTGCAGGCTGACGGCCAGCCGATGTCCTGAAGGCACGCAGCAGGTCCCACATCATTCCCAGACAGGGCTGCATGCACGGGACTGACCTTTGCAGCTCCTTGGATGTGTCCATGATCACGTGTGGTGGTCAGGCTGCAAAAATGGCCCCGTCCGAGGTGAGCCAGGAGAGAGCTGAACGTCCTGGGACGCGTAAATGCTTGGTTGCTATTTTATTTCATCCTCTTGTCAGGCAGAGAGCAGCTGGGCCAAGCTATCCGTGCTTCGGATACAGCATGAAATCTGACTTCTGAGGGTCGGTGGCTGTACTGGGAGATAAAGCAGAGCACAATGAACAGACTGATGCCCTGTTACTGTACTGCATACAGAAAGCAAGGGCCCAGCCCCAATGAATGCCACCTTTCTTTCTCTGGTGAAGGCAGTAGTGTCATCAGCATCTCCAGGAATTAATCTGTGCTTTGGGTTTGTTTGTTTTTGTGAAAATACTCATGGTAGGATGGTTTCCACACAACCAGCCTTGCTACTGGTGGCTCTTTAAACTCAGAGGAATGCAGAGCAGCACTATGGTGTCTCTGCCCCGTTTGTTTTATCGTATGGTTGAAAGTCTTGTTAAATGCTGCCTCTAATGTCCTGAAATCTTTCCCAAGAGACTGCTGCGGGTTCACTGAACTAGCTTGATACAGTAATAACTTTATTTAGGTTTTCTGAAAGGGAACATGGGCAAGAAAAGCCATCCGCCCCTCTGAAGAAATGCTTGGGTGCGGGAGGCAAAAAGCCGAGTCCTTATGCTATAGGGTTGCTAGCAGCCTCAGTTCCAGATTTATTGAGTCCTATTCTCTGACCCTTTAGTATTTCCTGCAAGGTTTGACTATAAAAGGCTATAAAGGAGATGAAAAAGTAAAGAAGGAATGCAAGCACCCAAAGAGACCTAACTTGTCACTTCATAGAAAAGTCAAGAAGCGAAAAATCCAGCCAGTGGAGCGGGACGAGCCGCTGGGCTCGCAGCACACGGGTGGCAGCCCGAAGCACGCTGTGCAACAGGCAGAGGCTGCAGGGGAGGCTGTGCTGTGAGGCAAAGGGAAGCTTGGGAGGAGAGTACTGGCGACGCAGGAGGGGAGAACAGCCTCTGCCGCGTTTCTCCTTGGTGCTCAGGGCATTACTGAGCTCTGAAACCACCTGTACCTGGCTCGAAGGCGCTGCTTTCCGCTGGAGGCGGGTGCATGTTTCATCCCCGTAACTCATAGTCGGGCACGGAGCCAGCCCTGATGAAACGTGTGACCACCCTACCCTGCCGCTTCGCTCTCCAGCCCTTTCAGGTTTGGCACCAAGTCCAGGCCACAGTCTCACCCCATCTGCACTCTCTAAGGAATTACCAAAGAGCTCATTTCTTCCTCTGTTACCACATTTGTTTTTTTATTTGGTTGGCATGGCTGTTGAAATAAAGGTTTGGATTCCCTTCGTGCAGGACCTAGCCAAGTCTGAAACTTGTTGCAAGAGCTGGGGTGTGTAAGTCATACTTCAGCAGAGAAAGTGAAATCATTCAGCTCGTCAGTCAGCGCGTATTGACTTCTACAGCACGGAGCGCTGCTACAGCTGCAAGGGACAGCTCGCGGTGTAGGCAGGCCTCCTTCACCCCCCTCCTAACAGCAGGGTCTCCCCCTGCTTTGCCGAATCAACCCCTTTACAAAACCACACCGAGAACGGGCAGAACTGCAGCCTAGCTTTAACCCTGAGAGCTGCTCCACAAGCACAACGGCCATCCGCCCTAGGGCAGGGCTCCCTCCCGGCGACCCACGGGCTTTCACAGCTCCTTCTGCTACTGTCACTTGAGTAAGGTAGCAACAAACAGGGCACTGATGCGTCAGCCCTGCTGCTTTTTTGAGGATGTGGTGTTACGAGCAGAAGAGCTGCAGCAAGTCACTGCTTTCAGGTACATGAAAAGAAGCAGCCAGCTTCAGTTAGTCTGGAATCTGCGGAGCTGGCTGAAACCTTATTTTCTCTATTTGTTTCAGTAGCAAGAATCGCATCAGGAACAAAACCGCATTGTTTATTGCATCCTGTTTGCTCTAATGCTCATTTCCCTCCCCTGTCAGTTGCCAGGGAAAAGGGGTAAGTAGGTTCTGGCTGTGCAAGGAGGAGTGTGGAGCAATCCCGATACCTTGTAAACTCAGTAGCACTGCAATGCAGTCAGCTAGGAGAGAAGAAAAAGCTGTACACTCAGCTGCTGCATGACCAGTGCTCTGTGGACTGGGACAAAGGTTTCCCCCTGCGGAGACGTGGTAAGAATGGTACCTTTATCTGTTCATGAGAAAAACTGAAAGTACGTGCGTGGCATACGAGCCAAAGTCTGGGAGGAAGGAGGGAGGTGGGTTTCTTCTTTGGTCTTTTGGTGCTGAACCTATGAAGGTAACGTATTCCTTTACGATTCCTCTTCCGGAGCGTAAATCCCTGCATGTGGGAAGGACTTGGCAGAGGGTTATGTAAACCTCTAGTTAAAATCACATGAAAGAACATTAAAAAGGGAGCTGAAATGACAGGTTATCGTTTCAGCGAGGCTGGTTATTTGAGCAGCTCTGTGAGAAGACGTGGCTGCGTATGACGTTTCCGAGTCCCACGAGCAGATGGTGGGTTTTACGTGTTTTCCCCAAAGCTGAGCTGAGCCGAGAGCAGGGATCAGGGCATACCTTCCACTCCACAGCCTGCAGAAAACTCCCGCTGACGTAACCGCATCCATCGCTGCTGCATCCCCGCTGCCTTCCGTCTCCTTCAAAGCAGGACCAAAGTGGGTCACGGCTCGGATGGCGATCTGAAAGGAGAAAGACGCTGCAGCAGAGGTGCGGGCAGGAGCTGCGTCAGCACCGAGCTGGCACAGGCCCTGCACGGGCAAGGCTGCACGGACAAGGTTTGCAGCCATTTGCTCTACAGGCGCAAAACTGAGGATTTTTAGCACTTCTGGCCACTCAATCTTCCAAGCCAGTAACTGCGGTGGCGGAGGTGAGCACTGGGATGACAATTCCTGGCAACTGGTTTGTCTTACAGCATCCACCCACATCACAAAACCCCAAATTAGAAAGCGTATCTCTGTATTTATCGCGAGGCTCATCTCTACAGAAACCAAACTCTTGTTCTGGGGTTGCCTGTCGCTTCTGCAAGCAGCACCCGCCATCAGGAATTTCTCAATCTCCACTAAGGCGAAAGGCGCACGGTAGGATTGAAAGACAAACATCAGATCAGCGTCTCGCAGTTTCTGCCGCAGAGCCCAAGTGTTTGTCCATGCCGCACGTGGGAGGCAACTGGCACGAAGGCACGTGCTTCCCGGCGATGCTGCGCCAACAGCAGGCACCCCTGCCCGCCCGCATCTGGCTCAGGGGCGTAACGACCGGCCTGGAGCCAAGGCTTAGGCTGGAGAGTCCTAATTACCGCTGGCATCGCCTGCCTGCGATGGTGCGTGGGCATGGA